TAGTCCAAACTAGCCATCATTCTGGCGGTGTTAGTAGAACTACTGGTAACTATTTTTAGACACAAAGACACGCAGGGACGAATCCAGGATTTTTCCAGGGGGGAGGCTGTCAGGCCGGAGATTTGCTTTAATGTCTCATTTTGTGGAAACTGTGATGAAAAATGACACACATTGTTTACAATTGTATTGGTGTACTTACAGTTGTGCACTTAGGTTTTTTTTCATTATTTCTCCCATTTTTAACCTTGTTTATCTGAGAGCGGGGGTAGGGGGCTTTGACCCCAACCTTCCGGCATGCATGCTGCCATGGCTGACGAAACTCTGCCTGTTATGGTTCAGTTAGTTCACACAGCCAGCGTGACGTAAAACAAGTTCAAGTTCAAGGTCCCAGGGCAGTGTGGCTTCGCTGGTTGTCAATAACCGATTTCATTTATCATTAAAAAGCGCAAAATTCACATGAAAATCATTGTACGAATTTTCAGTGACATTGTATGCTGCGAGAGTCGCAGCCAACGGTGGAATTTGAGTTATGATGAGATTAAAGAGGTAGGCCTGCTAAGGTCGTTCGAGTGTAACCGAATTTAGCCTTTTAGAGGTATGGCAGACTCAATAAGAGGAGACAATTTGAGGTGAGTAAATTTGGATAAGACTTTAAAGCTATGCATGGTGGAAGTACCAGTTGCGTAGGCTTGCATTTCCACCATGTTCAATACAAAATATCTCTGTTATGAGTGTGTGGTTCTCAACGTATTTGTCTTTTAACAGAGCATACTGTTCGTAACGTCGAGTGTCAACCATCGGTTCTTTTCAGAACCACACACCCATAAAACAGATATATTTCTTGTATATAGTGCAACCACGTACAAGCCTACCTGACTGGGTAAATTTAGAGCAAGCACTAAATCAAATAGCGCCCTCCAATTGTTTTCGCCATACCTCTAAAGGGCTAATTGCCCAAGCAATTTCGTTAAACAGGAATTGACTACTGGTGGAACTATAGTTCGCGCCCAAACTTGCTCGTAGTCATCGGCTGAGACGGACCACCTTAACTAAGTACTAATAACATAAAAATTTAATCACAAAGACATGCATGCAACTATAGCCGATGGATCGCTTAATACAATTTAATATTTAATACAATTCCGAATCACACATCCAGAGCTTGATATTTCGATAACATCCAAATCAAAATTGGATAATTTGTATAAGTTTGTCAAATGTGTTATATCATTTATGAGCTGAGAAATACCCATCTGTACTCCACTAACTATCGGTGATGATTGTTTGCGTCGTTGTAATGCTCGGCCCTCGTTTTACAGAAATGGTTACCGCGGCATCAGTTCGTTCTACAATTGAAAAGCATCTCGAATGTCCAATATGTCATGACAGATGCAGACGAAATTACTCAATTGCTTACACAGCTTCTGCGACGAATGTCTGGTGAATTACCATGACAGCAGATATAGAGGTTCTTCTAGGATCCCTTGCTCTGTGTGCCGTCAGGAGGCGACACTTCCCGATATGTACAAGGCATACAAGGCCTCAAGACAAACTTCCATTTGGTTGGTCTGATCGAGGAATGGGCTCTGCAGGAAAAACTTGCACTCTCTGTGAGACATGCGAAGAGGACCACGAGGCTTTACATCATTGCATCGATTGTGCCAAGATTATCTGTGTGGCATGCCGTAGAACACACTTCCACTTTCCGACCCTATCCACCCACACTATGGTAACTCTAGATGAGATTGGCCAAGGTAAAGTGAAAGTGATCAAACAACTGGATGGGTACAAATGCCACGAACACAAGGACAGCGTGAAACAGTTCTACTGCAAACCATGCGATGAGCTGATCTGTCACAGTTTCACAGTTGTCGAGCACACTAAACCCGACCATGATATCACTGAAAGTAAAGCGGCAGCAAAGGATTTCAGAGAGGTGCTCACAGACCACTTTCCTGCTCGCATCTGCCTGAGACATTAAATTCCTTGAAGATTATCTATTGGATACAGATCAAGCAAAGAAGTCGTTCAATGAAAACATAGGGAAGGCTCGAAAAGGGGTGAAGGACAGAGCTGCTGAGGTCATAGCCAAGGTCAAAACTGAGGAGAAACGGCTCCTTGATGAGTTCACATCCACGGAACACGAGCAAAATAAAAGATTTGATGAGAATAAGAAGATATTAAGTGACTTGCTGAGAAGAAAGAAACATTTCCTCGAGTCAGCCAAATATATCTCGACAAACGCCTCGGTTAGCAACTTCCTATCGCTGTACCCTGTAATCAAGGAAGACATGGATAACCTCAACAGCCAACACCCTCCAAAGATTCAACACAAACTATGAGCGTGAAGTTTGTGAAGAATCAGACAGCATAGCAGACGACATCAGGCTAGGCAAGGTGAAGCAGGAAGGAGACAAGTGGGACCTGCATTGCGAATTGAGCAAACTAGGAAGCGGTGATGGGGAGTTTGAATTGGCCAGAGGTATTGCTGCTGTTGCTGAACCTGATGTCAACCTTTCACTTTTCATATCTGCGCCAGGGACGTTTAGATTTTAAGACCAGTAAGCAGGCGAGAAAAACGTCATCTGATGTGCATGCAGGTTGGGGATCGTCAGGATTTCTGTCTGTGAACTCAATCTGATGACTATTTCTTAGTGGATTTGGGGACTTTCAAATAGGCCTACTGGCTTTTAATTAATCAAGCAACAAATACTTAATACCAATACTTACGTTAATGTCATCGAAGATACTTTTTATTGGTGATAATGATTATTTTTTGAATGATTTTTGAACTTTTATAGAGACTTCCAGGCAACTACACTCACTAGGATCCATTCCCGCTTGCGAGAGAAAACACGGCGTTAATATAAAAAATACTAACTTCTTCAAATTGACGTTGTATCTGCACAAGAGTGCGTTTCAAATAAACGCACTTTCAATTTATTCAATTTCTCCGGAATAGGTTGCGGGCATATAAAAGTGGTTAACTACTAGTACAAGAAGAGTGTATGGTTTTTACTTTTTGGATAAAGACAACTTTTAAGAGAAAGCAACTTTGTAACTGGACAACTCATTCATGTAGCAGAAACCCTTAGATGATTCTTTGAGAGTTAAACTTTTGCCTGAACCAAGTAATTAAAGTGACATGAGTGGTTAACTGGCCAAAGTCAATAAGTGAAGATGAGCGTCTGTTTGTGAAATTCAAACTTCATATTTTTCTACTTTATGGACCTCCTGTGCGATGTATTTTCCCGTAGGGAAGGGGTACACGCGTTCGCATGCGCCACTGTAAATTTAATAGATGCGTGGCTCTTCGTGGTAACGCAAATCTTACTTGAAGTACTTTTTTGGTCTTTGTAGGTGTACGAGGGGCAAAAAGATTTGTGTCTCTTTCAGAAAACGAATGCACTTCTCGAGATTTTGGCCCTTGACAACATGCAAGTAATCGAAAATCGAAGACAATAATGCTACTTTCGACATTGTGTGGCTCTTTGCCACCCTTATGATATGAATTTGCATTCATGTTAAGCAACAACCCTATCCAGAAATGGTCCGACTACAAAGGATATTGACACCAGTGGAAGGCTCGCACACGGAAGTTAATGTTGGCGCTTGGTGAGTAAAATTTTCCATTTCCCCAGACTTAGAGGCTTGTAGTCTCCAAATGTATCTGGTGCCAGTTAATAAATGCATACAGCGACTTTACATTCCACAAACACTCGAAGTAACACTGAGATCTACAGGGATTCAGATAGAGGGTACTTTCTAACTCGTCGTTCTTGAAGCACACGTCAGCCATATTGCTGTTTCCGCGCGTGGGCCTTTCAAAATAAATGTCTGGGATAGGCACGATCGGCTCATATGCACGATCACTCGAGTGCTCTTTAGACGCGTTGGGTGATGGGAATCTCCAATGTACATCCTTTTCACAGCTTCGAATGAATAAGACAAAATGAGCTGTGGAGAAAGAGGATAGAGAACTACTGTCAAATCGTGTCGGCAGCTCCCATATTTGTGCTAAGTGATCGGGCCTATCGACCGAGTTGGAGCGCGTATCAACACTCGTGCGTGACAACATGTACGTGAAAACATATCACAGGACCCAGCACGGCACATGCACTTTGTACGTATTATCAACAATGTAAATGTGCATGTACATGCATGAATTCACGTGCCCTCCCACAGGCCCTCTTACGCTTAGTGCCTGAGAGATAGCTGCACTTTGTCACCACAAACTACCAAAAGGACTCGCACAAGTGCTTGCAGAACCTCACCTCCATTGCACAGGCCGCCTGTTACCAATTGCAGAATGTGTGCTTGGAGTACATAATAGCATTCAGCCCTGACACTGAATGAAAGGTAACATCAGTAGATGGAGCCCTGGTTTCAACATTACACGCCGTAAATCCCTGGCGGGGAAGGAGTTGGGATTGGGATGGGGGTGGACAGATGATTCACATTGGCCAGCCACAAGAAGTTTGAAAAGCGGTTAGAGGTTCGTTGCTGAGAAAATCGTGCATCAACTCCATATTGGATTTAGGTTTTACTAAATTTTTTCATGTATTTTTTGTCACTGTTTACTTTTTGAGAGAGGGGGTCCCACTGAAACAGGACTCCAAGGTTGAAATCTCCGCTGTCGGAACAGCTACGTAGGACAACAGATACTGGAGGACTTCCGTGACTCAGGACAACCCCCCCCCCAACCAAAAGGTGCCACGATCGTGTGTTCTTCGTCGCGTGAAAGGCTTCACGCTAAAGGTGTCATCCTAGAAATCCATTTAACCATTCTGATTAGAAATAATATATGCTGCTGTAATGTCGAAATGTTGGACGGTATACATTGATCCGATATGTGATTAGTGTGGTTCCCTTGCCAAAGATTTCCCAGACGTCTCTGTGCACAATATTAGCGAGAGTAGTCAGAATTACCGGGACTGGTATCCAAACCAACATAAACATCCGTTATGCGAATACACTGCGTCTGTTTTTGTCACAAAGCGCACGGTCCCAAGAGAATGCAGGCGTGGGCGGATCGTCGAGGGGTGAAAGGTGAGGATAGTAGAAAAAAAACCTATTTTTTTACAATAATATAGGTTAAACACTGCAAAATACACCCGAGCCCGTTAGCTCGATAAAGGTAGAATTTCAATGCAAGGGTCTTCAGGGGAAGATTATGCTTCAGAAAGCGCAAACAGAGGTTTTCTCTGGTACGATGACCTGACCGTATTGCAGTGCACTTTTCAAAATGCCATACCGTGTGGAACTTTAAATAAAAAGGTGTGGTGCAGGAAGGCGTATGGAGTTGTGCTTCACTATTCAGGAAGTAACTTCAGCCATGTTGCTGATCACTCTGCGCGCTAGATTGTGTCATTGAAGTCTCCAACGTACAATCCTTTCACAACTGTGAATGAATGCGAAAGAGATGGTGAAATTATCGCGTGTAGTGATTGCGCCTATCCACTTATCGAGCTGTAGAGCGCCCAACAACACTAGTGCATGACAACGTGTACTGTTTATGTACACGAAAGTGTACCCAACCACCCGACACGGCACATAACCTTTGTATTATCAGCGATATCGACGTGAATTGTACATCATCCTGCATAAACGCCGCCTATATACTGAAATATTCTGGGTATTAATTGTGTGTAAACGAATTATACGATGTACAGGCTGTGTGCAAGGGGTCGGGGAATCCCCGTGTCATTATATAGGAGAGGGCACATACTGCGCATGCGCCTTCCGGGCTGGCGAGAAATAGACTGGCTTACGTCATGTACGTCGTCTCTGGATGGAACGTAGGGAAACGTAGCGGGTAATGGAACCGGGGGATCGTGCTGGTTCTATGTTAATGAGGAAACAAAGCCTGCTCAATGCACAAATTAAGCAGGACCTGATACAATATTTGGCCTCTTCTCCTTTGTTACCAAAATAACTTGACCATAAGGTTTTTTAAGGCTCTAAATGTTAAGGCAACAACTACTTATTTGAAATAAATAGCCGATATTTTTATTGTCACTTCCTTCGAGCATATAAACAAAACATTAAATAAGGTTTCCTGGAATTATAATAATGCATGTACATAAAATGAAATATACCACAGACACATACAGTCATACAACACGTAAATGCAGGAACGTAATATAAACATGCAAATTTACATCGTGTATACAAATGAGAGGTTACATCACAGTTTCAGTTCTCTTAAAAAGGCCAAATTGGGGAAGTTTACTCATATAGAATATCTTATAAATAACTTGCCTAATTCATTGCAGTCATCTTTTAAATGTTGAGTTGAAGGCGTGTCTTTATCGATATTCATTGAAAAAAATAAATTACCACACTGTATGATACGTTGGGTAAGGGCAAAACTTGTTATATATAAAACAGAGACACACAAAAAAGTGATTCTAAGAAAAATCCATTTCATGGATTCTTTAAGGTCAGATACATCATTGGTAAATTCAGAAAAACTCACAAATGCTGAGTCCATTAATCCATTTTTCGTCCCAGATAATTATTAAAACATACCGTGCTGAATTTTAAATCTAAGGGAATGAGTGTACCGACACAATTACAAAGCTGTGGGAGTTTGTATACGAAGAAAAAGGGTCGACATGACGTCAAGGAGAATGGACGAGGAACTGTAGATTCGTGCTGAGAATAGGTGAGGCGAATTTACAGTTCCCAGTTTATTCTCTGACTATTCCTCGACTTAAACTATTTCCCATTGTTACACGAACATGGAGTTCCAAATCTATGACGCTCTTGCTGTTACCATACGCCAGAGTGCACACCTTTGTTCCATTCATTAACGTACATGCCCGTGTTTGGGCTAAGTGAGACATCCGACAGCATTTGTGCATTCAACACTGTTATTGCTGGATACATACTCGGTTCTCTTCCTCTTGCACCTTGGAGTCATTATTACAAGTGGGTCATTGCACCCACATTGAGGAATGCTATACCAATTTATTAAGTGTTTAAGTGTATTAAATACAGGTTTACGTGTATTCTTAATTTATTGCATTTTTGATTAATTAAGTGTATTTTTAAATATGTGTATTGCGCATTAGAACATTTCTATGGTTTCCGCGCAATAGATATGAATTATTATCATTATCATCATTCATGAGAGTATTCGTGCAGTGACAGTCAGTGCTAGATGTGCTAGATACGTACGCGAATTCTCTTCATCTTGCGCCTTGGATTCATGAGTATACGTGTGCCCTTGCAGCGAAGCCTTCCAGACTAAAACCACCACAGGACTCTATGAAATTGAGAAAAGCTATAACCTCGTGAAAATATGGTTAGCACTTTTAGAACCACTTTACAAACCACTCCACGTAATTTACAAATCTTCGGTTTGCTACAAATTTGTAAAAATAATCTACACTTTGAACAAAGTAGTGACGTCACAGAAATAATAACCACTTAAGGCTTTTCAGTTGTTCGGCACAGAGTGCCCTACAGACGTCCAACAGCCATATTTCATTCTAATTCAATTCGAGTCAGTCATCTTTGGCTCACCCAATCCGATTCGATCGGAGTTCGACAGCCTTGGGTCTATCCAATCTAATGCCGTTGCTTCATGACTCAACCCGAACCATTCCGAATCCAGTGAAGGAGTTGAATTTGATCCGAGTTCGAAAAAGACGGGCTAAGAAAAGTAAAAACTTACTGCCAATCTTGCGAGTCATTTTACAGCACAAGATAAAGTCCCAAACATTAATTGTAAACAACGGTTAGGTCGTAAATTAAGACGTCGTCATGTTATTCTGTTTATTCTTTAAATCTCTGGATGGTTTAGTCGAACTTTCATTTAAATCATACCAGTCTTTCATAGAATTCATTTTCAAGCCTTTTACAAAATCCCATTTAAAAGGAAAAATTGAAATGTACACAAACTAAAACTATTCGGAATGAGAAAAATGAAGTGTTCTTTGACATTATCACGCGATGTATAGGGAGAAAAAAATACTAGAGTTATATACTCCAGTAGCTCGAGGCTCCCAATTAGACATAGGCCTAAAGCTCTTTGCCATGCTACTACTAAATTGAGTTTGTTGTATACGGCAAGCTTTTTTAGCTGGACAGGTATGCCGTGCTTTCGACGTCCAGAATGGCAGTGACATGACACTGCTCTAAGTTCGGCGTATACCACCATTGCCTTGCTACTGCTACTGTCGTCACAGTCAAGTTCGACACGACCTTACATAGCCCTTTACATTCATGTGAATTGTATTTGCATACATTTTATTTCTGCAGAATAAACACTTCAATGACGACCAAACCACTTCAAAGTGGTTTTAAGAACGCATTATCCAGAGATCAGCACTTCTTGGCGCGATATATTGTCACCACCAGCCGTCTGCCTGCATCTCTGTTCACTGTTTCGACTGATCCTTGCTGGAAGTTATCGTGGCTCGTGGCAGCATCTTTACTGCAAAGAGGATAATCTAACCATGCAGGGTTAGGTTTTTTATATTAACAGAGTGTGGTTGACAGAACTGTTGTGGAAACTGCTTCAATTGAAAGGATTAGTAACCGATTTATGTAGACACTGGAATGTATACAATGATTGCGATTCTCTATTAAACACTAGGTAAGTAAAAATTTACCTATAGGGGCAAATTTAAGTGCGAACTATAGTTACAACGCGCAATCCCGGTACAACGTAGAAGCCATAGCTGACCAAGAAATTTGGAATTAAAATCTCATTGTTCCATCACACTTCAATATTGCCTGTAACGGTTGCAGCATACATTATCATTAAAATCTTGTACAATTTGAATTATTTTCCTGGGAGTGGTTCCCTCTGTAACGATAAATGAAATCGGTTACTAATAACCAGCGGGACCAACATGTCCTGTGACCTGGTCCCAAAATGGTTGACTAGCTAGTCCAAACCAGCCATCGTTCTGGCGGTGTTAGTCTAACTACTGGTAACCGTTTTTTAGGCAAAAAGGCATGCCGGGACAAATCCAGGATTTTTTGCAGGGGGGTGTCAGGCTGGAGATTTGCTTTAATGTCTCGCTTTTGTGGACAAGGGGAACTATGATGAGACATAACATAGATTGTTTACAGTGGTATTGGTGTACTTACATTTGTACACTTTAGTTATTTTTTTCATTATTTCCCTGACTTTTTAAAACCTTGTCAACGCCCGAACTAAGGATGGTTTGGGGTATCTAGTCGCTCATTTGGGACCAGGTCCCAGGGGATGGTGGTTCCTCTGGGTTTCAATAGCCGATTTCATTTATCATTACAGAGGGAAAATGTACATAAAATAATTGTATACGAATTTTCAGTGACTATGTATGCTGCAGGAATCGCAGCCATCGGTGGAATGCGAGTTACGATGAGATTAAGAAGTAGGCCGACTAGTCTTTTAGAAGTTTGGAGGACACAATAGGAAGGCGCTATTTGAAGTGGGTAGATTTGGAGCAAACATAGGTTGACTTCGGGCGGCCTATTCTTGACAAAGGTTTCTTGTTCTCGCGCTCGAACAGTGGGAACACGATTCAAGACCACTGTTCTCGGAACAGGATCACACACCACCTCCTCGTCAGGGTATTACAGGAGCACACAGAAACACTCGTGAGGTTTTGATTTTTGAACGGCTGCAAAAAGTAGAGAGATGGCTTACAAAGCTACAGACAACAGGAAGTTTTGCGAAATTAACATCGATAATTTTCGTGACACAAAAAAGAATGTTCCTGTTTAAATTTAAAAACATCAGCCTAGTTATCAAACATTAACTCTCGAATAACGTACATGGAGGCCGCCATGTTGCTTGTGATAACCAGTTGTTTGCTCCAGGCGTTCCAGCGGCCAACCCAAGAACAACGAATCAAGTTGTTCGTGAACATACGAGAACAAGCCGCCCAAACTGAGCCATTAAGTTTAATTAACCCAAAATCAAATAACGCCCTTCAATTATTTTTGCCATATACCTCTAAAAGGCTAAATGCGCAAGCGGATCGTTAGAAAGGAATTAACTACTGGTCGAACTATAGTTCGCGCCCAAACTTGCTCGTAGTTGTCGGTCGAGACGGGCTACCTTAAGTAACTACAAATACTAACTACATGTACATAAACATTAAATCGTAAATGCATGAATACCACCATGGCTGATGAATCGCTTAATACACGTTCATGTTTAAGCAATTTCGAAACGCACTTTCGAAGCTCAATATTTCGATAACACGTAAAGCAAAATGGGATCATTTTGTATCAGTTTGTCATGCGTATTATGTCACTTATGAGCTGAAACATACCCATCTGTACTCTATTAACTCTCGGTGACGATTTCGCGCCGTTGTAATGTTCGGCCTTCGTTTTTTTTTTTTTTTTTTTTTGACAGAAATGGCTACCGCGGCATAAGTGCGTTCTGCTATTAAAAAGCATCTTGAATGTCCAATATGTCATGACAGATATAAACAGCCCAAGGTACTCAATTACTTGCATAGCTTCTGTGAGGAATGTGTGATGAACTACCATCACGGCATATTTAGAGGTTCTCCTAAGATTACTTGCCCTGTGTGCCGACAAAAGAGTACACTTCCCAAGACAGGCATACAAGGCCTCAAGACAAACTTCCACTTGGTTGGTCTAATCGAAGAACTGGCTTTGCAGGAAAAAGTTGCACTCTCTGAGGACTCCAAGCTTCTCTGTGAGACATGCAAGGAGGAGAACAAGGCTTCACATCACTGCATCGACTGCGGGAAGAATATCTGCTCAAATTGCCGCGATGTCCACTTCCGTTTTCCGATATTATTCAACCATACAGTTGTAACTCTAGATGAGATTCGCCAAGGTAAAGTGAAAGTGATAAAAAAACGGATGAGTACAAATGCCAAAAACACAAGGACAGCGCGAAGCAATTCTACTGCAAAACGTGTGATGAGCTGATATGTCAAAGCTGTACAGTTGTCGAGCACGCTAAACCCGATCGTGATATCACTGAAAGTGAAGCGGCTGCAGAAGATTTCAGAGAGACGCTCACCGGCACATTTGCTGCTATCAACAAGGACATTAAGTTCATCGAGGTTCATCTATTGGATACAGATAACACAAAGAAGTCGTTCAATGAAAACACAGTGAAGGCTCGACAGGAGGTGCAGGAGAGAGCTGCTGAGGTCATAGCCAAGGTCAAAGCTGAGGAGAAACGAATCCTTGATGACATCACAACCCAGGAACACAAGCAAAACAAACATTTTGATGAGCATAGGAAGATCCTTAGTGATTTGCTGCAGAGAAAGAAACATACCCTGGAGTCAGCCAAAGATGTCACGACAAACGCCTCGGTTAGCAACTTCCTATCGCTGTACCCTGTAATCAAGGAAGACATAGACAACCTCAACAGCCACCACCCTCCAAAGATTCAACACAAACTTTGGTACCTGAGGTTTGTGAAGAGTCAGACAGCAGACAACGTCAGCTTTATAGGTAAAGTGAAGCAGGAAGGAGACGAGTGGGAGCTGCATCACGAATTTGGCAAGCAGGGAAGCGGTGACGGTGAGTTTAAATCAGCTAGAGGTATCGCTGCTGCTACACCTGACGAAATCGCTGTGGCTGACTGGAAGAATGGCCGAGTGGTAATCTGCAACGACCAGGGACCCACCGGTAAATTCCTGGCGATGGGCCCAAGTAAGTACACTGTTTAGTTCCAGTACGTTTCACACTCCTTATTTTCTAGTGGTGTGGGTACAGTCTTTGAACTAAATTTAAGTCTGATGTGTCCACGGAGGTATCCATCTGTCAAATCGTCTTAAGACAAAGAGACT